GAGAATGCATATTTATTTAAAGTCAACAATTTAAAAAACGTGTATCTAAATTATGTTCTAGCACCAGTCGAATAATTTTTTACGTCACGTGTAAAATTTTTTTAAGACATCTCTGGACTGACTGCCGCTTACGCGGCTATTGGTTGTGGCGAGAGAGCTCGCCGCTCTAGTGTTCTCCCTCTTTCGAATCGCAAATCCGAGCGTAAAAAGATCAAAGCGGCACGCTACACTGTCCCAGCTGTTTTTTACTTAAGCTGTGTTATAGGTATAATTTGTCGTATAATCAAATATACACACATCTTAATACATATCATCAGGTATTTAAAAAAAATATCTCTTATAAAACCATTTTGATCTAAACAGCTTTAACAAATCTTTTATTTTCTACATAAACATAAATTTTTATCGTAGTCACGAAGCAATTTCATTATATTTTTCTATTATAAATCCGTATTTTTTTCTTTTTACAAATCAATCAATCCATTATTTTTATATTATTCAATTTCAATTTAAAGTAAAAGTTTTCTGAAGTTATTTTATTCCATTTAATAACATGACAAAACGTAATAAAAAATGGATTGAACTAAGCAATTTTGTTATACAGTGTCGCAGATAAGTTCGCATTATATGGAATTTTTGTAGGGGAGATTGCCCCAGCGCCGGACAGTTCCCAGTACCGGACATTTTGGATTTTCTGGTTTCCATATGAATTGGCTGTAACTCCCTATTAAAATCAGTTAAAACGTTATATGTACGTTACATATTTCGCGCCATTTCCATTTATTTCATGTCGTTGTCGAGATATTTGTGATTAAGTGTTTACGTGGGTGTTTTCAAGTGATTCGACTAAACTTTAGGCCCCTTATAATACGTAAAGGTAAGTTTAGTAGTTCACTAATAACTTATATAACAACTTACATTATTGGGTACTATAACCACATGCGCAAACGGACGAAATTATTTCTAGGTTATGTTCAATGCGTATTTTATCTTTCGCTGACATTTCCCCAGTATCGGACACCTGTACATTGCCCAGTACCGGACAAAAAATAATTGATCGTGATAGGCAGATTATAGCCGTCATTATTACTATTATTTGTTGTTTCAGGCATATTATCATGCCAAATAAACAAAAAGGGAAAATGGGATGAAACGAGCATGAAAAGGCTGTGGACCATGTACTGTCAGGGAAATATAGCATTAGAGAGGCAGCGTTCCACTTCCCTGTTCCTAAAAGTTCTTTAGGAGACAGGATCACGACTCTCCGAAAAGGAAATGCCGTTAAAATGACACCTACATTAGGAAGATTTGAAAATACATTTAATGTTGACTTAGAAAATGAACTAGTGGGACACCTTAAGGGTTTGATAATCGTTTTTACCAGTCAACAAAAAGGAATTTTTAACGTTAGCATATGATCTTGCTGAGCATTTCAAATTACAGCATCAATTTAGTAAAACAAAAAAGACAGCAGGAAATAAATTTTATCGTGGGTTTATTAAGCGGCATCCCGAATTTTCGTTGCGTTCTGCCCAATCAACTAGCCTTCAGAGAGCGCAAGGATTTAACAAGAAACAAGTTGTGGCCTTTTTTGAGAAGCTGGAGAACCTGATGGAGAAATATTCGTTTTCCCCAAGTAGGATTTTTAACTGCTATGAAACCGGCGTATCTGGGGTACGTTCTCACGCACTAAAAGTTTTGTCATTAAAGGGGAAAAAACAGGTCAGCAAACTAACATCTGGTGAAAGAGGGAAAAATATAACAGTAATGCTTTGTATCAATGCTGCAGGAGACCAATTTATACCACCTTTATTTGTTTTTCCAAGGGAAAGAATGGATGTTAAACTTACGAAAGATGCACCGGTTGGAAGCATTTTTGTCGCTCATCCAAGTGGATGGATAACCGTCCAAGGATTTTTAAAATGGTTAAATGCATTCGTGGATCGAGTTAATCCGACTGACGAAAAACCAATTCTTTTAATATTGGACGGCCACAGCACACATAAAGATCTGCAAGTTATTTTATATGCAAAAGTTTTTTATATGCCACGTTCACATGCTAAGTTTGCCCCCTTACACGACACACAAACTGCAGCCGTTGGACAGAGCTATTATGAAACCGTTTAAAGGTGCATTTAATGCAGCATGTGAGGTCTGGATGAGCAAATACGGAAGACTAGGCTTAAAAATAACTGTCCAAGAAATCAGTGGTTTAGTTGTAAATGCATTTTCAAAAATTTGTAGAATGGAATTGGCACAATCTGCGTTTCAATGTACAGGGATATATCCCTTAAACAAAAATATCTTTACAGAACTAGATTTTCTTCCTGCTTCAAACACTACAAAAATATTAGAAGCCGACAATCAAGAGAACCATGAACCTAAAAACAATTCACTAACCCCGTCTACTAGCTTAGACTCCGGATCTCTAAACCAGTCTTCATTTGACAAAATAGTTCCCTCCGTTTCCACAAGTAAATCAACGGGACTGCTAACTTCTTCTTCTGTTGGTTTTACCGTAAGTTTGAAGCCCCAGTCTCCTAATAAAGAAACAAATATTTCATCTTGAATCATTGATGCGTCGATTCCCTCCATACCTGAAGTTTACAATGAAAAAAGTGGAAAAAAAGTGGAAATCTCCACATTTACCGACAAAACAATGAACTTCTTTCAGTCAGTCGACGATGAGGCAATTCCCTCCACATCTACAGTCTTCCAAAATGTCATCAGTCACTGGAGAAATCCAGTTACTGATGATCTCAGAGAAAAATAATATCAAGGAAAAGGAAAGGAGAAAAAAGCGAAATATTAACTTCTACACCATAAAAAAAAAATGCTTGAAGACAAAGCAGAAGTAAAACAGCAGGTCGAGTTAAAAACAGGAGAAAGCAAAGCAACAAAGTATAACAAAACAGAGTCGAAGAAATAATGAAAAACACAAAATCAATACCAAATCTGAAAAGTTTCTATCTGTTAAACGAAAGCTAATAGACGAAGCTGAAGAAAAGAAAACAGACGAAAAGGCTTCTAACAAAACCGAGTGCATCATTTGCGGTGAAACTTTTGAGGATGGACCCAGTCCTCAATGTTCAATGTTCAAGATGTGATGGGTGGGCTCATGTAGAGTGTGCTGATAATGATAATATCCTTTACTTTGTTTGTGACCATTGCATACAATAACTTATTAAGAAGTATGAATTAGTAAGAGTAGTATTATTTCTTGTAATCTCTCCGTTTATCTGTTCTAATAAAAGCTTTGTAGATTTATTTATCTGGTTTAATATTCAAAATATATATTGTCCGGTACTGGGAACAGTTTTTTTTACAAAGTGATTAGCAATACTGCCGTAAATTTATAATTTCACTGTCTATTTGAATTCATATCGGTTTAAATTTACTACCATATATTAATTAGGTTTTCTTCTACCAATGGCAGACTAAATTTTTGTAATAGACTTTTTTTTCAAAAAAATAGAAGGGAAAGAGCTTAGGTGTCCGGCACTGGGGCAATCTCCCCTATTACTTGATTTAGCTGAAATTTCACTTTGGCGTTAGGTGTGAATTTGACAGATTTTGGACAGAGTATCTCTTAAATTTGACAATTAAAATAATAATTATTGAATGAATTTGGACAAACTATTTGAAAAAGTCTTTCTCTAGCTATTATTAAAAATGTTTATAAATTTATATTAAGTAGATTATACACTACGATCGAAAAAAACGGCGTCAGCGATAGTTTTACACTGAGGATGACTGTCATTTTACATCGGTTGCCTGATTATGTTGTTTCAGTTTCACGACCTTGTTGGTAGCTTTGGGGAGGGGGAGGACTCTGAAACAAACGTTTTAGCCATCGATCTTTATTGGCCGGCATTTTTAATAGATGGCCAAACCACTTCAGACCTCCGATTTCTACTCTATCTATAATTGTCTCTGGAGCATTCATTCGGTATCTGATTTCTATGTTAGTACATACAGTAAATTTTCGATACGTCTGCACTCCTTCTGAGAGTCCATTTAAACTGCCGTAAGTATCCGTTTCATTTCGACTGTTAGAGCACATACTTCACAACAATAGAACACCACAGATTCAACCAAGATTTGTCTCAGCAGTTTTTTGGAGAGATGCTGATCGCACCACAATGAATTCAAACATCCTAGTATTATTTTGCCAGCTTGAATGCGGAGTTTAATTTCGTCATCTCCAATGCCCCGTTTAGTTACGATTAACCCTAAATAGTTAAAGTTGTCGACATGTGTGACCTGAATATCATCCGTAATCAGAACTTTAAAGGTCGCTTTACTATTGACTACTCAGTCACACTTCACTTTAGTTTTAAACACTAGATACGTGTTTCGCTAACCATGTTAGCATCATCAACAGATGATGAAAACTGAAAAGGTTAATTTTAGCATCATCAGCAATTGACGAAATCTCGAAATTTTAGTTTTAAGTTTTATCATCTATTATGGTTTATTAAGGTTTATCATTTATCTATATATTATTTTAGTTTTAAGTTTTATCATCTATTGCTAAGCATGTTAGCAAAACGCGGATCCAATGATTAAAAACAAAGTATTTTGTGTATTGTGGTGAATTAGTGTTTTATTTTACTCTTTAACACCAAAGATTCCAACCCCCAACTATATTTTTTAACGGGAATGGTAGTACACTTTTATTCTTAAAAATATGCTTTATACAGGGTCGCTGATATGTATGGGAACGGTCGATTATTAGGTAAAATATAAGAAGTACCGCATAAAGTTAAATATAAAAGTTATAGGGGTTTTAAATATCTATTAGCGGGTAATAAATTTAAGTATAGAGGGTTGGTCATAAAGTCATGGCACATTAAAGTTTTATTTTTTTTAATGGAACCCCTTGTATATTATTGCATATTTCGTTTTTTTCTAGCAAAAATCGAGATAGACATAATGTACCTCCCACAAACCGTTTCCGAGTTATTGACTTTTAAAAATATCACTTAAAAAATTCAATGATGTCATTTAAATATCTAGGGGCAAATATAACAAGCACTAGGAATCTCAAAGAGGAAGTAAAAACCCAAACAACAAAGGCATCATTAATATCAGGATATTTAAGGGATATAATTTGGCAAAATAAATATATGAGCAGCAGAAGCAAAGTGAGAATTTATAAGGCTTGCGGGAGACCAATTATGACATATGGGATAGAGACTAGAGCAGATAATACAACAACAAAACGGCTCCTAAGAACAACAGAAGTGCGTACACTAAGATCAATTACGGGATATACCTTATATGACTGGAAAAGAAGTGAGGATGTAAGGGAAACATGTGAAGTAGAGGAAGTAAGATGGGCAAGAAACAAGAGAAGAGAGTGGAGAGATCATATGGACAGGATGCCAAACGACCGGTTAGCGAAAATTGCTAGGGAGAATAGACCCAACACGCCTCGACCGCCGGGACGACCACCTATAAGATGGTATGAAAGTCGGTCTTCATCATCCCAACTGTTCTTAGGGAACCATTGAGGAAAACACAGGATTTGGTACTAACGTACGAAGAAGATGAAGAAATGTTAAACAAAAAATTTTGTAATTTCCAGACTTGATATAATGAATTAAAGGAAGAACCGAAATATGCAATAATACAGGGGATTCCGTTTAAAAATGAACCTTTGATGTGCCACGACTTTATGACCGACCCTGTATACTTAAATGTATTACTCGCTAATAGATATTTAAAAACCCTATAACTTTTATATTTAAGTTTTTTGCGGTACCTCTTATATTTTACATAATAATCGACCGTTTCCATACATTTCAGCGACCCTGTATAGATAAAGAGATATTAAATTCATGCGTCATATTTTTAATTATAAGTAAATTGCTTCGCTTGTTTTTTAAGAGACTGGTGACGAATCATTGATTTCATCACTAGTTGCGAAAAGAACTATATGAATCATCTTTCAAAACGTCAAGGGATTATAAAAAATGTCATTTTTAATGTCAAAATGAGAAAACTATACATTGACAATATTACAATACATCGAAATAATTCGATATACATAGAATAATTGATAACGGTTCTACGGTCCCATCATTACAAATCGAGTTACGAATTGTTTTCGTCTTGTTTGGAAATTTGCATGTGAAACGAGCGCTGCCGTTTCAATTTTTATTCCGAACGCAAAAATGATATTGCAAACATAAAAGTGGAAAGAACGTGTAGCGGCGGCGGCAGCGGCAACGGATACAATAAAGCTTTCCGTATCTTGTAGTCGGCTTTTTCCTCCGGTCCGTATCGTTTTTATTTTTGCAAAACGGCCCCAGAAAGTACGACTTTAATTCAATTTTGGGTATTAGTTCCGGGCGTTACGGCCGAATCGAGGAAACGGAGTTTACGGTAGTCAGCGGGAAAAGAAAGCGGTTATTCGTATATGGAAATAGCCGATATTGGTTTAAATAAGGAATTGCATATTCCGGAGAGCGCGGACGGTCTGATAGCGAACGAAAATTTCACTATAAAACCAAAATAACACTCAGTATTGATTATTTGTGATCGACGATGGCTTAGTGGCAACTGAGTGCTGTTAGCCGGAAAATACCAGGCTTGAACACCAGTCGTTTTATCTAGTTTAATTATCTAAAGAAATGAAACACAGTCGAGTTAATTACACCATTTATAACCGGCTGGACCAATTTTAATTATTTCTGATTTGTTAGATCCGTCTCCAACCTTTTTTTTCGTTGAGGAGGGAAAACATCTTGCATAAGACACCCAAAGTTGGGTAGTGCCGGATTCCTACCGGCAAAAAAAAGTTCTTCCCCGTTTAGCTGGCATTAATCAGGAAGTTTGTCCCCTCGAAAGTTTTGCCTTGGCCCGGGACCTAAAAATCACATTTACACATAATATATTTTAATTTCTGATATTTAATGTTTTGTTTCAATTATTTAAAAGCTTAAAAATAATTGTCCCGGAATCGCCGATACTCAAGTTGGGAGCCCTACATCCAACTACCACTTTACACTGGAATACGCTCTTGCATTGCTTCAGTGCAAAGGGTGTTTAGATTTACCTTATCATGCTCTTGTCTCTCTTCTCTCATTTTAGAGTTTATGATACTTCGGACTATTCGATATATAAGCGTCTATTATTTTTTTCCTTCAACTAAATACATCAAAAATGTATCCTTGCCGGCTTCCATACGGAATTTTTTGCACGCAAACAGTGTATACTGATCATCAACCTGTCCGTAGTAGGTGCCATGATGCACTATCAACCCTAAAACGATCACACAAATATTTTCTAAAACAACCATGGCCAGACAATGATTGACTCATAAAGTAATCCACTTCTCCGTATGATATGTTCAACATAATTGAATATCGGGTATTAACCTGTATGTCCATCTGTCATATATTCCGGTATTCCATTTGTCCTGCCACTGTTGGACAAGTTTTGTCCACTCTAGATCTTTATCCATCCCATGGTAACTATCATATCGTTCCTGCAAGAGCAGTTCTATAGGTGTTATTTCAGATATAACCTCTATAGGCTCTCCAGATACAGTTTTGTATGTGCTGCATACTCTAATAGCCATGATACGTTGTGTTCTGCGTTGTCTTTGTGTAACATTTCGATTGTTAATGACTTTATGCCATACCGGTTAGGTTAGGTTAGTTTAACAGCTGTGAGTGTACTACTCTAGCAAGCACTCTCCTTTTGGATGCTCTAACTCCTCCCACGTTTGGCGTGAGTAAGTTTTTTTAAGTACGGTGACAGTTTTTCCAGCCTAGGTAATTGTTTTATTAATATGATCCGAAAAATTCAGTTTGGTATCCAGCCACACATCTAAGTATTTCAAAGAATTACTTGGCTAAATTACAGATCCTTGTATATAAAAATGCACCCGGGATATTCTTCTTTTTTGGTCAATAATACTGCTTCTGTTTTATGTGAGTCTACGGTGAGTCTTTTATCCTCCATCCAATTTACAACTCGCTGGATTACCAAGTTGACGGTGTTGATCTCGCAGAAGTTTCATCGCTTGCACATGCAACAATGGCAAGGTCGTCTGCGAAAACAACTAGAGTTGTTTTATCTGGCATTTCTATCCTCAGTAGATCATCATAAAGTACGTTCCAAAGCATACGTCCCAAGACTGATCCCTGTGGTATACCGCTATTTACCATCACAGTTTATTGTAACTCCTCGGCCTTCAATTATAATTTTTCTCCCTGATAGTACAATGTTAAGATTATGTTCGATCGATTAGACATAGATCTATTTTCCTCTTTCGTAGGTTATTCAATATAAGTTGCCAGGAGACGTTGTTAAAGGCATTTTCGACATCTATTGTGATCATTGCACATAGTCTACGATGCTTACTTGTATATGCAGCAGCTTCTTCCTCTATGTGCATTACTTTAAGGATAGCATCTACAGTCTGCATTCCTTCACGAAAGCCATATTGCGTGTCTGAGAATCCCCCTTTGCGAGCAATTTCTTCTTTCCGTTCCGTCTCCGACCTGAATAGTAGGATAACTAATTAAATAGAAACTTAATTTGGAATTATTTTAGGTTTGAAACACCGGCATTTTCCGCAATTGACAGGTCAGCTATTTGGAATAATTAACGTCCACTGAAACTCAGTGACATACTAGGGTAGAAGAGCTAGGCCGTTTCTGCCTGACTAATTTCAAGATGACTCATTTCAAAATGGCCGCGCTTTATGTCGACTGCCATTCTTGGAGAATCTGCTTTAAAACGGGTTCGTTTTAAACAGAGCCGTGTTTCAGAGCTGTGTTTCAGAGAGGATCTGTTCGATAGCGGTTCGATTCAAAGAAGAGTTGTTTCAATCAGGGCATGTTCCATAAGAGAGACTATTTCAAAGAAGATCTGTTCTAAACAGCTCCCCACCATGTCACCAACAAGCAAGAAAGTCGACACGAACCGCAGCAATTTTATTTTTGGCGTAGAAAAGTCTAAGTAACGCGGATAAACATTATTTACTTTAATCAATGTTTGGGGGTTCTAGCCATTAAAAAATCCAATAAATGATTGATGTTTACAATAAGTAAGTATAGTGGGTTTGATTAAGTTTACTACCTATTTATTAAAGTATAGCCATTAAACTTTATTGACTAATATCATTAAGCCATTAAATTATAAACTTTATAATTCCAGGAATTTGTAGGGTAAATGAACGCGATTTTTGCAAATTTTATTTAAAAATTATCTAGATAAAGTCTAAAAGAAACTTATAAGTTATCGGATGACGGTTCCTCCTCAGCTTGGTATATGACAATATACTTAAAAAAACATGACAATTTTTGTTGAAGTATAGATAAGGATTGTTTTAATGTGTTTCCATTTACCCCATGAATATTTTCATTTACCCATGACATTGTAGTAAATAAAAACAGCTTTATTTTTACTAGGAACAGCAATTGAGGATGGGATAAATGAATATTAATAAGCTCATGAATAGGAATTTCGCTTTTTAGTCAGTAACTAAGATATTTTAATATTTCTGAAATGAATATATTTTAATTGGTAAAACGTAAAAAATCGTGAGATCCTGAGCACGTATCGTGATATCGTAAGATTTGATAAAAAATCAAGTAAACCTGGCACCCTGTACTGAGTTGAGAGAACGTGATATTTTTTACCCCGAACATTAGTTCCTATTTTTCTCAACGTGGTGTATGCACGGGATAAATGGAAACAAGTCTGAGTTTTCATCCGATCAATATTATCAACTGAACCTGAAAATTCGTCAAAAGACTAGCGTTAGACCTGCAAGACCAAGACCAAGATGGACAGTGCAAGACCTACGCAAGACCAAGACCAGGCATGCAAGACTCTTGCTGTCTTGCGTTTTTCTATGTATTTTTTGTTTACTGGTATATTAACCATTTTAGAACAAACAACATTTTTTTATAATGTATTTCTATGAAAATGTTAACAGTAAAAATGTTTTCCCTCTTGCAAAGATGATCCAGGGAAATATATCGTACGATCGAAAAAAATCGCCGGCAATTTACCTTGGAAATGACGATCGATTATACTTACCATATAATTTTACATATGAAATAACAGCTGACAGCAATCTTCATTTTCAAACCAACTGTGACAAGTGTGACACCGTTTTTTTTTCGATCGTATGGTATTTATCTAAGTTCTTTTAGAACATTTTGCATTCTTTATACAGGCGTATTTTTTATTTTTTTAAGTTAAATAGATTTAAATAAAATAAATTTAAATTGTGATATATCTATTAAAAATATTTTCATAAGTTCTTTTTTTTATTGTGATCTAGGTACCATTATGCTATAAACTTTTGAAATTGTACAGAATTGTCAAAAAGATTTTTTTCTGTCCTAAAAAATAGTATGTTGTTTTATTCGGAGTAAAAATGATACTTTTTCGCGAGGCTGTACGTTTGACATACAGCCGAGGCAGAAAAAGTCATTTTTACTCCGACTAGAACATGCTATTTTTTTCAAACGCCACAAATAAGTTTTTA